AGGTCAACGAAAGAAAACCAAACCGGAAGAGCGACCGCTCTGGTCGATTGGAAGCGCCAAGCGGCGGAATTTTCGCCCGAGGAAGACTCGGTTTTCATATTGATGTTATCGGTTTCGATCCTCAGAAGTGTAACCGAGAAGAGAAGAGAAGATGTGGGTAAATTATTGGTACGGAGGCGGATAACCGAAGCTAGAACCGGTGAACGAGATTGGGGATCGGTTATAATCGACGGTTCATCTTCTGCTTCATCTTCTCCCTTTGTGGAACCGTGGTACCGGAATGCCGGTAAGGTTCTGGCGACGGAGGAGAGAAATCCGGCGACTAGATATCCGGTGATGACCTACTCTAATGTGGACGGTGGCGATAGTTTGTACAAGCACGTAATATTCGGGTGAGATTTGGTGAATCTCGTACCGGATTTGGAATGTATGATTGTATTTCTTAACCAAACTCCTAAAAAGATTATAGTAATTTATATTGAAATCGAGATTTCCTTCGAATGAAGGAGAAATTTTTTCACATGAACTGAAATGATTTTTTCAAAAACTAATAAATTCGAATTTGAAATCGAAATTCAGCTTAAATGAACCGAACCGGTGTAGCCAATATATGTTCAGATAATGAAACGGTAACGGTGGATTTTGGTCAGGATTTGCTAATTTAGTTAATAACCAAATCATCTAACCGAATGAATCTGTATTAACATATACGATTTTTCTATAAAATAATCATATCTAAATCGAATAAAAAAATAATCTAAAATTCGATTTTTTTTTAAAAAAGAAATATGACTAGTTTTATGAATAAATACCAAGACTGAAAACGAACCAAAATAATAACTAACCTAATCAAACGGAATTCGAATTTTTCTAAAAAGAAAAACAACCGAATTCGAATATAAGAACACCCAAGACCAGCCGACTGATACGGCCCATTTTAGTTGGGCCCATATAAGGCTGAAGTGGAATATAAATCCCATCTTAATGGGCCCAAACTAGAGCAAAAACATAGGTCTATGGCAGAACAGAAAATATACTAACTTAACAAGGGCATTTAGTCACTTTAGTTAGCTTAGCGGACCCTTCGATGGTACCGAAGTCTCTAATCCTAGGGTTCGGGTTCCACTATTCAGACAACCACGGCTCAAACACCTGAGTCTTCTCTTATCCTAAAATCATCTCTCTCTCTCTCTCTCTCTCTCTCTCTCTCTCTCTGAAAAACAAAAGGAAATTGGGATCGTGGGTCAAAATAAGGAAAGAAATTGGGATCGCACAGAGTTCTTCTCTGAAACCTTGATCTAATTTGTAAGTGGTTTCGAGGATTTTATCTGTGCGTAAATTGAAATCAAATATCTTAATGTTTTGTTTTCCCAGTAGAAATGTGCTCTTATGAATTTTGGATGTAATCTCTTTTGATCTCCGAGTAACAATTGCTCTTGCAATTCGAAATGGCCGAAAAGCTGTTTTCTGTTGCGTTGACTTTTTAACATCACAGTCTCTGTGTTGGTTCTCAGGTTGGCATTACAGAGCAGAAGATGTCGAGTGGTGTTAAGTCAAGAGGCGAGGATCTCCTCAGTGGTGTGTTGCCATTGATGAAACTCATCTCACTCACACTCTTCGGTCTGATTCTTGCACACCCCAAGACCCAAATTGTTCCAAGAGCCACGTTTAGGCTTCTGAGCAAGCTCGTCTTTGTCTTGTTCCTGCCTTGCCTTATCTTCACTGAACTCGGAGAAAGCATTACCTTAGAGAACTTCGTTCGCTGGTGGTTCATCCCTGTCAATGTCCTAATCAGTACTGCAATCGGGTTCTTGGTCGGGTACCTGGTTGTCATCATTTGCCATCCACCGCCAGAGTTCAACAGATTCACTGTCATCATGACCGCCTTCGGGAACACCGGGAATCTCCTGCTAGCTATTGTTAGTTCCGTGTGTCACACGAAACACAACCCTTTCGGACCTGATTGCCACTCGAGAGGGGTATCTTATGTCTCATTCGCCCAGTGGGTGGCTGTGATTTTGGTGTATACCGCTGTTTATCATATGATGGAGCCACCGATGGAGTATTACGAGATTGTTGAGGATGGAACGGAGATGGAGGAACAAGACTTAACTGCCGATGTTAGTCGGCCTCTTCTGGTGGAAGCTGAATGGCCAGGTATCGAGGAAACCGAGACTGAACACTGTAAAACTCCGTTCATCGCCAGGGTCTTCAACAGCATATCCGGTTTGTCAAACAGTTCTCTGCCCGAATTCGAGCACTCGGGTGAAACTGGAGGGAACAGTAACAGTCCCATGTCTCTTCAGTGCTTGGCCGAGCCGAGTGTTGTTAGAAGGATAAGGATCGTAGCTGAACAAACTCCGGTTAAACACATACTACAACCTCCGACCATCGCATCTCTCTTGGCAATAATTGTGGGATTGGTGCCACAGTTAAAAGCTGTTGCCTTTGGGTACGACGCCCCGTTATCTTTCCTTACTGACAGTTTGGAGATAATGGCGGCAGCAATGGTTCCATCTGTCATGCTCGTTCTCGGGGGAATGCTCTCGGAGGGGCCAAAGGAATCGACGTTAGGGTTGAGAACAACGATCGGGATAATCGTGGCGAGGCTATTGGTGCTTCCCTTGGTCGGGATCGGGGTAGTGATGGCTGCCGACAAGCTGAACCTAATAACCGGTTCGGACAGGATGTTCAAGTTTGTGTTGCTGTTGCAGTATTCGACTCCGAGTGCCATATTGCTGGGCGCGATCGCCAGTCTGAGAGGCTACGCAGTGAGGGAGGCCTCGGCTCTCCTCTTCTGGCAACATGTGTTTGCCTTGTTTTCTCTCACCTTGTACATTGTCGTTTACTTCAAACTGATTCCTTGAGTGCCAAGGTACGCTGTTTTACACGTTGTCTATGGAAGCTACTTGAAAATCATTGCTTGTGTTCCAAGGTATATGTGTACATATATACCTGAAGTATGTATATTTCATTATTAATCTTATCAACATTCAATTTGGACCAACTCCTATTGCACATAGATTCTGCACACACTCAATTGCGCATTAACTATAAGATTCGAAGAAAGAATCAAATTTCACATACACAAAGTACCTTGAATAATTTCGTTTGAAATATATATATATATATATTCAACTGTTTTACAGAGTCTAACCAAGAAAAGTAAAATCAGTTCATTTTACTTCTGGACCGGATTTGACTCGTTACGGTCATTTGAATTTGGGCTTTAAATAAGGCCTCAGAAGTCCAATGATATGCCGATCATTCCCATTTCAATGGACCTGAGGCCCAATAAATAGACCCAACATAACAAGGGTAATTTTGTCATTTCACTAGTAGCCCACCCTTCTATATAACTGAAATCTCGGGGATTTAGGGTTTCAGGGTTCCATCTCCAGTCATAAACGCCGGAAACTCCTCTCTCTTGTCCTAACCTGTGTTCCTCTTTCTTCCTTTTCTTTTTGTTTTTTCTCGCGCAGAGTTCTTCTTCGGAACCTTGATCGAATTAGTGAGTGGTTTCGAGGATTTTATGTGTGCGTAAATTGAAATGAAGTAAGATCCTTTCTGCTTGAGCCTTCTCTCTTTGGTTTTCCAGTAGAGATGTGCTCCAATGTTATTGGATTACATTTTGTTTCTCTTTCAGAAGTCTATGCGCCTGTCGGTGAATAATTTACCCTTTTTCCTTTTGTTTTCGTTTGTAATTTCTTGCAATCTTCGAATTAGAATGCTCCTTGAATTTATCTGTTTTTGGAATAAACCATATCGTACCGGCCGGTTTGCAAAACGAGAGAACTCGTGGTTTGGAACCAAACCAATCAAATCTTTGCCATAATACTAATAGAGATGCCAGAAATTGAGGAATGAGTTTAGTCAAAGCTGTCGGAGATTGATTCTGCGGGTGACAGATCTAAGAATCTACTTTCTAACTAAAAATCCCCAACTAATCAGACTCTAATTTCTAAATTTTTTTTCAAATATAGTTTATTGAGTTAACATCGAAATCTAATTTCTTGTTTTAATATCATATTATATCTAAATTAGAATAATTCATGAATTGTAATATGTATATAAAATGATATTAAAATATTATATATATATATATATCAATTATTGTAATTCAATCAGGTTGGGGCCGAGGGTTTTGGACTTGGGATTGGGCCGATCCGATATTTTAGGCCTATATAACTAAGTCTAAAACCTAATTATACAGATTTTGGGTTCGGTCTGTCCGCTCAAATTTTCTTGTAAATTTATTTGTTATGAAGAATTTTTTTTAAAAAAATATTATGTTTTCAGTCTGATCCGAATTGGGCCCAGCACCCGATTGGAGCCCAATCCGAAAGCCCAACTTTTTGGCTGAACGCTTTAGTCCCTTAATTCGTTATTTTTTAGATTGTGCTATCCCGTACTTCGGGTCCTGGACCTAAATTGACATCTTATATGAATATGATATAAAATATATTTTATATCTTGTATTTGAGTTAAACAGTAACTTCTTAGACAACGAACCGACCTTTTTTTTAATTTTATTCAGGAGTTAAATGAATTAGGTTATATCTGACTATTTTTATCTCGTTAAAAATAATTGACTGTACTAATATAGTGTGGATATTGGTCCGGACAAACAATCCATTTTACACCCGATCTTTAACTATATTGCCTAGAAGGGTATATCCGGAAATTCATCTTTAAGATGGAATATGAATAATTCATATTATATGATAAGCTATTTATATTTAGTTGTTTACGATAAGCTAATAAAGACGATTAAGATGTTCCTCGCAAATTTGTTACATATCAACGAGTTTTATTGAAAGCGTCAAAAACAGGTACATACGGCGAATCAACCGCACTGGCACTTATCATCGGAGACTGAAATAACAGATTTACCCTTACTCTTACAGGACACGACGCATTGAGACAGCTGGGTGCCGTGGAGGGTAAAAGCGTCTTTTTCGGAATACGGGAGGCAGACACATGCACCGAAGAAACAGATCTTGAGGGTCGGACATTTTATGAATTGGCAATCTTCGTTCTTGGTGCACGACACTGCCTCTGAAATTGGAACACCTTAAAAAAAACAATTGACATATTTAATTTCCCCTATATATATATTGTGAATTAAGTTCGCATTACGGAATTTCTAGAGATTAAATCAAAATCATTTAAAAAACAGCTTATATATAAAATGTTTTCATGGAATATTTTTTGTGAATTATACAGTGAAAGGAGACTTACATGAGGCAACGATGAGGCAGAGAACCGCAAGAAAAGTTTTGTTTGAATTCATGGTTTCCTTTCCTAGAGAAAGATGTTTTTCTTGATAGGTTAATGGACTCCGTGGATGGGTGTGTCTGATTTATATAATGTAAGAACACAAAATATAAAAATAATATTGTTAGAAACAATTGAATGCAGACGTGAATCATTAAATAAATTTTGTTGGATTTGGATATTTAATGTTTTACATATAGAAAGTCCATAGATGGAAATTATTAAAAAAAAAGTCCATAGATGGAAATAAAACAATATCTAAATTTGGATATTTAATGTTTTACATATAGAAAGTCCATAGATGGAAATTATTAAAAAAAAAGTCCATAGATGGAAATAAAACAATATCTAAACATTGATATCAATTAATGATTAATTTGGATTTGTATATTCCATGAAAGATTAATTTAGAAATTATTCAAATTTAAAACTTATCATCTTAAATAAAAAAAATATTATATTCGAACCTAAAATTTTGTAAAATTTTGGTCCTAAGGTTTCGAAAGAAACCTTATTTCAACTCGTCGAAATCGTTAAAACGTTTCTAGGATTTTAATAGTTTCATTTATTTTTTCTAAGAAAAAGATATTATATATATACATATGTTGAAATTGATATGTTACCACTGTACTGTTTTTGTCTTATGGTGTTAGATTAAATAGAGGTGTCAATAGGGCCAGCTTGATTTTTTCGGATCTATATAGTTAAATTTGAAACCCGACCCTATATATTTCAGACTCGGATTGGTCGGTTCGGACCGTCCTGCGTAATTTCATTTGTAAATGTTATTTTTATTTATTTATTTTGTAAAATATCATATTCGGATCAGTACGAATCTAGTCTGAAGCCTGATTCGCCGATAAAATCCAATTTTTTCGGATAAAAAAAATGTAGATTCGAAGTTCGCTAATTTTCGGGATGAGTCGGACCGAGTTTCGATACTCAGATTTAAATTGGCACCTCTAAAAATAAAAATAGGTATAGAGTGGGTGATATAGCATCCATTTTTTTTTCACATACTACAACTTTTAGTTTTTATATATTTTATCAGATTTAGATAATTTAATTGTTTGTATTATATTGTATTTGAGTTGAAATATAATTATTTTAAGGTAATATAAATTCTAAATGAAAGTATTTTTACATCGTATTTGTTTTCAATTTTACGAGTCGGTTCATTTGACTCAAACATTAGAAGAGTTGGATTAAAATTTACTACTTTTAATTGGTAAAAAAAATAATAATTGATCGCAACTCTAGTTCAACGAACTCAGTATTCAGTAATACAGATTAATTTCATCCGAATAAAGTCGTTTTATACCGTTATATATATCAACTAGAATATACTTATAAGAGCAATATATATGTGGATGGTTATCTATGGAGATTCATCTTTATATTTAGTTATTTAAGATAAGCTAACAAAACATAAAAGATAATTAACTTAATTCATTTACTTGTCGCAAATTAATCACATTCAACGAGTTTTATTGAAAGCTTCAAACATAAATAATTATGGTGAATCAACCGCACTGGCACTTATCACCGGCGACGGAAATGACGGATTTGCCCATACTCTTGCAGGAGAGGACGCATCGAGACAGCCGGGTTCCGTGGAGGGTAAAAGGGTCTTTTTCGGGAAGCGGTTGGCAGACACACGTACCAAAGAGACACATCTTGAGGGTCGGGGTCGGACATTCCATGTATTGACAATCTTCATGGCCTTTGCACGACGACACCGCCTCTGAAATAGAACCACCTTCCCAAAAAAAAAATAAAAATGCAATTGACATATTTATTTTTTCCGTGTATACATATAAGTTCCCATTAGCGAATAAATCAAAATTATAAAAAAATATATTATATATAAAATGTTTTCACGGAACATGTTTGTGAATTAGGCAACGAAATAGACTTACATGAGACAACGATGAGGACAAAAACCACGATAAATTTTTTGTTTGAATTCATGGTTTCTGTGTAGCAAATTTCCAAGGACAAGATGTTTTCTTGATAGGCTAAGAATATGATTTATATAATGTAAGAACCCACCATTTACAAATAATATTGTTAGAAAAAAAAATTGGTGTACACATTAATCATGAAATGAATTTTTTGGATTTGGATATTTAGGTGTTTATGTAGAAAGTTCATAGGTGGAAATAGACAATATCTAAACATTAATTTAGATTTGGATATTCCATCAAAATAATTTATAACATCGTCACATTAAAAAGCACACAATCTTAAATAATAATAAAAATATTGGATTCGCACCTAAACTTTTGTAAAAAAATATATAATCTTATACTTTATATTTCGCTGTAGATGTTTGTGATATAGATGAATAAATAATTGATATAGACCCGTCTTGATATACTCTTTGCTATTTACGAACTCTTACATACACTTTGACATAGAACCGTCTTCATATACACTTTGGCTGATGGCTGGAGATTCTCCCTTGAACATGATAAATGAACAGTAATGTTTAAAAGTAAATAAATATCCTAACCATACCCTAACATAAAAAACTTACAAAACCAAAACATTATTAAAAAAATATATATTTTTTTTAATAAAAACCGAAATCGAACCAATCGAATATTATACAATAATCAATCGGCACACATCATTTTGGTGTCGTTCCAAAATTTTTCGGTACGGTCAACTTGGGATTTTTCTGTCTCTAGACTCTCTGAATGGTGATGTGTAAATCTAAACCAGAGAAAACATTAAGTGGATGAACCAAAACCCTAACCGGTATTGACCCGGTTTAGCTCGAACACAAAATAGGCTAATGCCAAGAATGAGTAATCGACAAAGATGTAAAGAATTGAGCGATGCATTGTCCACAAACAGAGCACACCCCAAAACTAGATGGTCCGACAAAACTTTGAGTTCTGCAATAGGGGAAAAAAATAAGGCGAAGATATCAAATATTAAACCTTGAATCCACGACTGTTTCTGCGTCCTCTGGCCCTCTCGAACTTTCTTCCCTTCGCACGGACATAAGGCTTGGTGTGGCTGTGCGGCACACCTGGAGCTGGACCAAAGTGTTTCACCGCTTCACGAGCATTCTTTGGCCCTCTAAGAAGAACCTGCATCGTCATTACCCAAATGAGAATCGTCAAAATGGTTTACTGAAATCCAAGATCAAACGCCAATCGATAAGAGGAATCTGTTAAGGCAAAACAGGTTCATTTTTTGGGCAGAATCAATGTTAATAAGACTGACTAACTCTCCCATCGCTAGCCATTGGAAGTAGTTGGTTACAACAATTCAAAGAGACAGCCCCATAGCAAGGAACGAGAAGTTTAAGGCTGATGCAAAAGCATAGAATGAAAGCCGATAAGTAAATACTATATACCGTGTTCTGGCCGAGGGGAGCTCGGAGAGCAAGCTGGTCAAATGTCAAACATTCTCCTCCAGCTTTCTCGATTCTTGCCCTGGCTGTCTCAGTGAACCTAAGTGCAGTGACCTTAAGTGCAGGGACCTCATACACTCTCAAGTCATCAGTCACGGTTCCAACTATTACAGCAACTTTGTCCTCCTGCAAAATCAAAACCACCATAAGTAACCAACATAGTCACCACCAAAAGCTGCAAATGCCAAGATGTAGATGATCTAATGCATACAATAATGATGACCTTATCATCTCCTTACATATTAAATAAAAGTATGAGCAAGTCATTGATTTACACAATTTATTGCACAGATACATGTAATGTCTGTACCTTCCCCTGCATGAAGCGGACAAGCCTCGAGAGAGAAATTGGGGCCTTGTTCACTTTACTCATGAAGAGCCGCTTTAGAATCACAGCATTGAAACTGCTGCCGGTCCTCCTTACCAAAAACCGGTAAAGCTGCAACATTTCCAAGGATTAGTCAGAAACCAAATCAGCATATTCTATGATCCATAATCTCTACCCAAACCAACCATCTCTCAACAATTCTTAGAGGAACCTGGTCAATCAGAATCTAAGAGTTGGTTCGACAATTGAAGAGACAATGTTTTATTACACACTGGTTAACAAAAAGAAGTCAACTTTACAACAAGCCACGTTCATAGAAAGTTTTAACTGAAGCTCCCAAGATGAATTAACAAGAACAGCGTTCAGATCATCCAATACAAAATGCTAAGAATTGAAATGTCAATGAATTTCCAATAGAAAAGTTAATTATCTCCACACATCACTTCCTAGCTAATCCCTGTATTTCAATCAACTCTACGAGTTTTCCAGAATTTTTATTTCGTTTACCTTGACAAGAAGCTTGAGATAAACATCATCAGATTTCGGAGCAACCCTTTTGGTCTTCTTGCTCTTACCTCCTGCAATCAAATCGATCCCCTAAAACAGGAGACACCGATGAATCAAAAAATCAATCGACAAAACTTTAAATCGGAACCAAGAAAAACTACAAATAGTGAAGCACCAAAATCAAGAGAACGGAAAAAGAGCATGAATCTAACCATTTTTCTGAAGAATTGGATCGGGAAACCTCGCCCGTTGCTCGTTTCTAAAGCTCGGGGAAATGCGAGCTAGGGTTTCGAAGTGCGACTTTATACCGTCAAGAAATTAGGGCGATAAGTAGTGCATCGTGTTGGGCCCTAACTTGAAGGCCCATTAAAATGCTCAAAAAGGGCAGACCAAGTTTTCTTATGATTTTTTTAGTAATAAAAAAACTATTTGTCAAATTATGCATGCTCCCTCGTGATATTGATTGATATTATTTTATAGCATATTAATTTGAACCTAGCCATTTTATGTCGGGGCGGATTCTTAACGTTCATTGTTTCATGGAAAACATTTGCATTTCTAATTTTTGTATAGCAAGGAAAAAAATTGTTTATACATGTCTAGAATTATAATAACAGAAATTTATGATGGCCGATTATAATAAATTACAAAAAGAAATGATATAAACAAGAATACCCTTAACGCACTAGAAACTCACAAATGATATAAATGTAATTTTCAATTTTCAAATTTATTAGTTTAATTTAACTTGTCTATTTGTGGAGAGATTACAGTTAGGTTAATGTAACATTCCAAAAAAGAGACGCAACAAAAAAATAATTGAAGCAAAGTTGCGTGCGTGGGAAGAGGAGAGACAAAAGAAGCTTCGTGAAAACAGAACAGAGAGAAGAACATAAAAAAGATTCACAAAAGGAGTCTCTTCGGTCCCCCAAAGACAACTCAATCTAGCCGTTCCATCTGCAGAGACAAAAAGATAGATCGAAGCCACAACATTTCCATCATGATATGGACAATATCTACGTAAAAAAGGATTTATCGCTAGTGGGCACGGGGCACGGATCGGATATCTTGATTTCTTCCTAAATATTCAAGATCCAATCCTGGTCCGGATTCGAAATCCGGGTTGTAGCATGTATTCTAAGAAATTCGAGCATCTCAAATCTGTTGTATCAAAACTGGTTCTGCAATGGAATTTGCGGTTTTTGACTAAGAGATGCAATGATATACAATCCTAGTAGAAGGCGATTTACCGGCAAATGGGTCCAAATTCCAAAATCGAGTGCAGACCATGTTACTAAAGCCCTTCATTCTGCTATGGGCACTTTATCTATGACTATAGAAAAAAGGACGAGAAAAGGTTTAGTACCTTCCACAAACCGTCATTGAGGTAATGCATGTTGTCAACTCCAATTCCCTTGTTAATACTCTTTCTGTGAAACCAAGAGATCAAAACCAGAAAACTTTGAGAGAAACAGATTCAATGCTAAGAGAAAGTTTAGACTTTGTGTAGAGAAAGAGTCCAAATCCAATATAGCTAAAGATATGAGACCAAATCTTGATTCGTCCATCTCCATTAAATGTTGAAACACTGTGGGAAGGTGAATTTTTTTTTCCAAGTGATCAAAGCAGGGTAGCTTTAAGAGGACATTAGACGGAAGTTGGAGAACTCTTAATCCAAAGAGCTGTCAAACTCATGCAATTTCTCAGATTTGTTGATTTTTTTTTTACTTACATGTCCTTGGCTGACATTTTAGTGAAGCCAATGGCAAGAGCGTGTTGCTTTCCTTCTGCATATACGGCCTGAAAGAGGAAGAAAGAATTCACTGTTTCAGAAAGTAGAAACAGAAGGGTCAAGAAGAGAAACGGAGTCCCAAAGTATGGTCAGGCGGAGTTAATACCACGGGACGCTCTGCCTCGACTTGTTCATCCATAATACCTCCAGGGGATGTAAGACCAGGACACATGATGTTTGCACCAGAGAGAACAAACTTTATGGCTCCTCTGTCAACTTGAAACCTCTTCATTATATTCGGGTCTGCAAAATTCAACATTCAAAATCGACCAAATCAACGTGCACCACCGCTACAAGGGATGTAACATGTCTTTGAAACATCTTTCACTCTGCCGGCAATGCGGAATTCCCGGACTCGGAGAACTAGCAGATGTCTTGCAGTGTTTAAAAAAACATCATGGGAACTACATTGACATGCAACCTTTTCGTTACATTAGGGTCTGTGGAAGCCCAAGAGACAAAACACGAAATGTGCCAAATTAATGTCCATGGGTAGCCAAAAACATCCGCATCAATCTATATGTTCTGTTAAAATATGTAATAGTTCAAAGGAACATACTGTCTCAAAAAATAATACTTGAAAATGGGCAATGCAAAAGGAAGAGATACTTTACATTGATGAAGAAGACGCAGGGTTGGCATATATGGCCCATCGCGGATACAGAAGAAGAGTGGGACATTGTTGATAACCACTAGACTCAAATGGTTTGGGCTGCACCACAATACTCGGGAAAATCAGAATAGCCTCAAAACTGAAGAAAACGTTCAAACTCTAAAATGGACTATGGGTCTACGAACCACTTGACGACTATAAGAGGAGCCTTCTTGGGTAATAGATCATCCAAAACTGGTTCAAGCTCAGGGTACTGCAACATTCACATGAACAGTGCTATGTTTGGATGGTAAGGAAACAAAATTCTCGGAATTTCAAACTTATAGAAATAAGAATGAAAAACAGTAGTCGTACCTCATCTTGAATACTCTGTCGGATCTTACGTTGAACAGATGCTTTCACTTGGTTCTGTGATGAAACTTCCTCGGACGAAAACCTGAGTAGAATATAGATTACGCTATAAAAAGATCCCAACTGGCATAGAAAATAGATATAAAAAAGGACAGCAATATGCAAAAAACCGTATTGGCTAGATCAAAACCGGCTCAAAAGAATCAAATGGATTTTCTTTCAGACTGAACAAGGAAAATTAAGCCAATAAAACCAAAAACAACTCTCCATTATGGACCAGAACTCTTTGGTTAGAATTTCTAAATCAGAGACCAGCATTAAGATTGTTCTCAGGATGCCACTGAACTCCAAACAAAGCCATTCATAACCTAAAAATCTCAAGATATTTCCTTTTTTGGGAATTCAAAAACCTTTTATCCTGAAGAAAATAAAACGAATATGCAACTGTGCCACGGGGATTGTTCTAAAAAATCGTATCAGACACATGTAATCCGACAGACAAGTGTCTCTAAACCGAAGCTTAAACCAATGTCCTCAGCAACCTTCAAATGAACACTTTGTACTGACAACTACGTCACCAGAATTGCTTCTTTAAAAGGTACCCAAAATCTTAGTCACAAACTAACGTCCCCATCAAAATCAGAAGCCAATGAGACTATTCTACACAATCAGTTCAGAGAGATACGTACTCTCAGACGTAAAACACGATTTCCTAATGGGTAGAATACAATCAAAATCAAATCCAATTATCTGATTTCAGTAAGATTCTGCGCTAGAGACACTAAGACATCCTGACGCACACTTAAGAGACACAATGCCTAACACTGCAGGGCCTGTAAGAAACCCTAATGCTTAGATTCTGCAGTGTCCCAATCAAAAACATTCATTTTCTGTTCAATCCAACATGGAACTTGTAATTCACTTGGTTGAAGATTACAACGAAGGAAAATCAAAGAGCCCTAGTCCCTGCAACCAGATACACAAAAAGCAATTACATGCACTCCATGATGCGCTGAAGAAGACAGAATATAAACGGAGACACACAAAGAAGTCGAGATAAATACGAAAAGATCAAGCAGAAACACGAATTGAGTGAGAATCGAAGCGCAAACAAAAAAAGGCGACAGCAATAGAAATGGGCAAAGATTCGTACTTCTTGAACATGATCGAACGAAATCGGGAAATGGAGAAACGGGTCGGGTCGGGTCGGGATTCGCCGGGCAATCGGAATCGCCCAAGGAAATTACCAGACCCCTATGAAGCTACGGTTTTTCCACTCTTCAGTTTTGCGCTTTTGCTACTTAGTTCGTACAATCACACTAACACCGTCGCTTTATTTCATCGGAAACCATTTGTGAAAAGTCTATAACACCCTTAGCGAGAAAGATTGACACGTATACCACCCAACCCAAAGCGTGTGCGACACATGTACAAAGATGTGTGAATTTATTAATTTTAATCGGAGGAAAATTAAAATTTTGTGCGGAAAAAAAATGGAGAAAGTAAAAAACCATATCCAAATTTTTCGCCAGAATTTTGTCCGAATCCGAGCTTCATATAATTACTTGTATCAAATTATATAAAAATAAATAAATATAAAAATAATTAGAAATTTTGAAGAAAAATAATAAATTTCTAGATATAAATACGTTTAGTAAAAATGGATTATTATGATTAGAGCGTGAAATGAATATTTATTTATTTTTAATTAGAATATGAATGGAATTGAAATTCAAAGTCGATTACGAGAGAATCGTATAAAAGGAACTTTAATTTGGAGGGATGCAGTCAAACAGAGTTAAATAAGAAGCAAAAGAAAATACATTTAAATGTACCGTATTTATTTCTAATTATTTTGGCCATGCCAATGTCCCATGGAACATCGACCACATGAACAAAAAAGTCGTTGAACATGTAATAAATTGAAAACGACTCGATCCACTTGCTCGCTGTAAACGCATTTTCCAACAAAATAAATAAATATCCCAAGAAATTATATAAATTTAAATTTAAATATTATAAAACACACTTTTTATTATAATAATTATTATTATATATGGATATATAAATAAGTACTGAGAGAGAGAGAGAGGGACTTTCTCCCAGGCATCGTCTGCAGCTTGGGTGGATCATCTTCTCCTCGCCATGTTAAGTTTAGTCGTCTTGTTTGGATTACTAGGTATTATAGCTTTAATAATCATCCCTTAATCTCTCTTATTCTATCCTTAAACACGATTAAAACAGGGTTTGATTTGCTTTGTGTAATTTCTGGTTCCTTCTTGCAGGTAACTTAACAACAGGGCTTGTCTACATATCCCCACTGTGAGTAATCAGACATCTACAAACCCAATCTCCAATATATATTTTTTTTCCATATGAATTTGATGGTTTTGTGTTAAAATTCAGGAAGACGTTTTGGCATATAATTGAGAGAAGATCAACGGAAGAATTCGAGAGCTTGCCATATGTATGCAAGCTCCTAAATGCTTATCAATGGGTATATTATGGAGTAATAAAGCCGAACAGTGTTCTTGTGGCGACTGTCAATGGTTTCGGTGCTGTCTGTGAGATCATCTTTCTCATCATTTTCCTCATCTTTGCCTCTTCCCCATCAAGAAGGGTAATAATCTCTTCACTGCATGAATATATATATATATATATATA